GAAAACATTTCTCCCTGGGATCAATATTCTTCCACCGTTAGCTCTCACTAAGGGGACCAGATCCTGGGAAGGCGGTGTTATGAGAGAAGCCCGGGGCGCAGAGGGCTCTGCACACCAGAGACCCGGATTCCAGCCCTGGTGTCTCATGTTTCCTCGCTCACCTCCAGAAACAGCCCCCAACACTGCTGGGTGTGGGCCCCAAAGGAATAGCCCAATAAAATCTTCTGACGTCCAAAGCAGCCTGCGAGTGAGCAACCTTGAGCGGCAGTCTGGCTCTCACAGGAAGCACTTACTCTGCCAAGCCGGCTCATTCTTCTAGGGTGACGCCTTCAACCTCAAGGAGCCTGCCAGGATGTAGCTTGGCACAACAGGACAGGCCTTGCCTGTGGCCCCGCACGTGAAGCCAGAGCCAAACCACACTCACCCTGCCCGACTGGCCTGTCACTGGCCGCTGCCCCCGGACAGGCTCTCCATCTGCTGTGGACTGCCCCATGTGGGACAGACTGTGGACACACTCAGGGACCCACATATTCCCCCTGGTCCCCCAAGTCATTCCTCCATTGTCCCCTAAGATCTCACTTTTCCACCAGCATAGCGCTGAATCCTGGGTGAGAGGGGAGCCAGGGGACTGGAGTGAGAGCACAGCAGGTAGAACATTTGTCTTACACGCTGCCAACCCAGGTTCGAACCCATAGGGTTCCCCGAGCACTGCCAGCAGTGATTCCTGGGTGCAGTAACCCCTGAGCATTGACAGTGGGACCCCAAAACAAACAAACAAATAATGATGGTGTAAGAGGGAAAAGATACAAATTGTAATATTGAAATGTTGCATCCCAGTAGTTTAATCCTGAAGAAGATAAATTGAATTGACATTTTACTGTCTATATGATTCATCAAAAAGACATTACGAGGAACTTTGCAGAAATGCACTGCAGCGAAGTCAAGGACTGAAGTTAAGGACGTGGCCTGAAAGAGTGGAACCTCAATTTGAAAGATGAAGGAAGTACCGGGAATGGGGGCTCACATTCCAATAAAAGTAAATGCAAGTAGAAAAAAAGAATGGAGGGCACGAGCGATGGCACAGCAGGAGGGCACACCCTAACCCAGATACAATCCCCAACACCCCTTATGGTCCCCTGAGTACCTCCAGGAGTGATCCCTGAGCACAGAGCCAGGAGTAAGCCCTGAGCACAGAGCCAGGAGTGATCCCTGAACACCACTGAGTGTGCCTCCCCACACACACTAAAATAATCAAGAAAAAAAAAGGCAAATTGAGGCAACAGAGAAGTGCAGTTGTATCTTACACAACAGAGGTGCTCTGTGAGGTTCTTCACAGGGCGGGGGCACCCATGTGAAAGGACCTCCTCTACAAGAAGCAACTCATCATTTCTGAGAGATAGACCTTCCCTCCCCCCCCCCCCCCGCCTCTGCTCCCTCCCCCCTCCCCCCACATACACACAGAAGCTCTTTCCTAGGGAAGTGTCTCCAGCAGCCCTGGACATGCAGCTTCTGGGCACAGTGGATCCTCCTCAGCTGAAGCAGCACAGCGCTCCCCACCCTGCCTCCCCCAGACCCAGGAGTGCAGGCCCAGAGTCCTCCCTCAGACCCAGAAGTCTAGACCTCCTCTTCCCTCAGACCCAGAGGTCCATGCCCCAGTCCCCTCCCTCAGACCCAGGGTTCCTGGCTCCAGCCTCTTCCCTCAGACCCAAGGTTCCAGGTCCCAGCCTCCCCTCTCAGACCCTGGGATCCAGGCCCTAGCCTCCTCCCTCAGAACCAGGGTTCTAGGCCCCAGCCTTCTCCCTCAGACCCAGGGTTCCAGCCCCAGCCTCCTCCCTCGGACCCAGGGTTCCAGCCCCAGCCTCCTCCCTCAGACCCAGAGGTCCAAGCCCCAGCCTCTTTCTCAGACCCAAGAGTCCAGGCCCCAGCCTCCTCCCTCAGACTCTGGGGGCCAGGTCACAACCTTCTCCCTCAAACCATGGGGCCCAGGCCCCAACCTCCTCCCTTCACACCCAGAGGTTCAGGCCCCAACCTCCTCCCTCAAACCCAGGATCCAGAACCCCAGTCAGGAATCCAGAGCTGCAGCCTCCTCCCTCAGACCCAATTTGGGGACACCACCCCTGGTCTCATGGTTCCACGGTCTCACGGTGGCCTCCCCTGGCTCCCCGTGGGCCCTCCAGCAGCAGAAGTCCCCGCTGTATGCTGGCCAGGGCCAGAGCTATGAAACAGGGAAAGTCTCTGGCATCCTGCCCCGTGTACAAGGCAGGAGGCCCATGCCCCCCCCTGCTGGGCAGCTAGGGAACCCAGGAAGCTTCCCAGACAGGCGGGCGGGCAGAGGCAGGCCCCTCCCCTCCCGCCCAGTTCCCGAAAGCCCCGGGACTTTCACTGACCAGGCCCTCCTGGGGTGCTCCTCCTTCTCCCCACTCCAAGCCCATCCCCAGCGCTCCGCGGGCTCACATACTTCTAGCTTCTGGGTTTTTCTTTTTGACATATGTAAGCACATTTTGTTCCCTTTCTTTCTGTTAGCAAGACTGTGAATCAAAAAGACAAAACTTTCTAGTTTTGTTTTTTCTTTTTAATTATCGTGCTGTGGGATTGAACTGCCAGCTATAGTAATTGGACTAAGTCACTTTTCCTGGAAAAAGGGAATCCTCACTTCTGTCGAGTCCCCATGAAGCCTGCCTCAGACTCTCCCGTGTCCCAGCGCGCCCTCAGCACGGCGCCTCTCCTCACCATTAACAAAGTGCTCACAATACATGGCCTATGTGTAACGGGCTTTCATCCAAGCTGGATGAAAAAGGAACTTGTGCAAAACAAAAAAAAATTTTTTAAATCAAAAAACAATGTCAAGATGTTATATAAGAGATTAGTGTAATTGCAAAATATACTCTATGTTATCAAACATAAGGCTTTCTATATTGAATAAACATTATACAGATCATTCATACATGTACATAAAACTTTTTTAAATAAAGGGAATCAATTGCTTTGTTCATGAGAGAAAAAGATCACCCTTATGCCCCAGCTCTTCACTAATGTCTGGTTTTTTTTTTGGGGGGGGGGGGGGGTCACACTGCTGGCAGGGCTGGGCTGATCCTACCCATTGCCAAGGATCAAACTGGGGTCAGCTGCGTGCAAGATAAGCACCCCAGCCCATGTACCATCTCTCTGGCCCCACCATCTCTTGCTTCAGATGCCCTTGATCTGCCTCCCAGCCCCCAGCCCTACCACCCTCATCACCCTGGAAACTCCTCATCAGTCACCTCCTCCAAGGAGCCCTCCCTGACTGTCTCCGGGCCCTCTGTTTACACAGCTGTGTCTCCTGCACCACACTGACATCTACTGTAGGGCTGGGACCAGGTCTGAGTCACCTCTGTGTGCTGGACATTGCCTTGCCAAGTGCTCGGTTCACATGCCCCAGATGTCCCCAGCCCCCATCCTTACTCCACAGCCCCCTTAGCATCAGGGTTTGTGACCAGGAACCAAACCTCAGGCAGGTCACTATAGGCTCTTCTCAGAGGCTGGAAACAGGCACCAATGGCAGGGGAGGAAGTGGGGATGAGGATGTCAGTCAGCAAGGGGCCCTGAGGGGTCCTGCCCAAGACCTGCCTCCTCCAAGGTGCTGCATATCTCTCCTGTCTTTCCTGCCTGGGCCACCCAAGCTCCCTGCAAGGGATTCTCGGCCTCTGGGCCTAAAGAAGGAGGCTGAGGGCCTGAACTCCTGGGTCTGAGGGAGCAGACTGAGGGTCCAGACTCCTGGGTCTGAGGAAGGAAGCTGAGGGCCCAGACTTCTGGGTTTGAGGGAGGAGACTGAGGGCCTGGAGTCCTGGGTTTTAGGGAGGAGGCTGAGGGCCCAGACTCCTGGGTCTGAGGGAGGAGGCTGAGGGCTTGAACTCCCAGGTCTGAGGGAGGAGACTGAGGGCCCGGAGTCCTGGGTCTGAGGAAGGAGACTGAGCGCCCGGAGTCCTGGGTCTTAGGGAGGAGGCTGAGGGCCTGGACCCCTGGGTCTGAGGGAGGAGGGGACGAGGGGACGAAGGCTGGACTGGCAAGCTTGTAGCCCTGCTCCTTCTCCCTTAACCACATTCTGCTTTTAGAAACATCTGGCTTTATACAGCTGCTCCACCCGGGGAGGGCGGGACAGGCAGCCAAGTGCCCGGCTTCTGGGCTTCTGATCGGAGCTGGCAGCAGCCGGCCCTGCCCTCACAGGCACATCAGCCTGACACCGCCTGACACCAGGCAGGCCCAGGCTCCCGCTGCGTCACAGCTATGCTCCCCCAGCCCCCAAACAGGGCCCTCTTCACCCCCACCCCGCCTGCTCCAGGGAGCTGGGAGGGGATTTGGCCTGAGTGTGACTAGGGGAGCCCAGGAGGGCTGGGGGGAGGCGCGGCTGAGAGAAGCAAACTTAGAGGCCAAAAAACAGACTAATAACAAGAAGGAGGTGCCTGGGAGGCCCAGGAGGAGCCCGGGAAGAGGCAGGAGACTGAATCTGAGGGGTCGCACCTGGACCCTGCTTGGGAGCCTGAGACTAGCCACACCCACTTTAGATGCTGGGTTTGAGGCCTGGGGACTCCCGGGGTGGTTAGCCAAGGACATGAAGTTCACCCCAGGTCTGGGAGGTGACGGGAATGGGGTCCCAAGAGCTGGGGACAGGCACTTGGCCATGACACAGCATAGACACGCACATGTGGTCCCCAGTCCAGAGACAGGGGACGGGTTTTGGGGGGAGGAGCAGAGCCATGGGGAGGGGAAAGCTGGGGAGACAGGCTGGGAGGGAGGAAGAAAGACAGGGAGGGGGAAAGGGATGGAAGGCAAGGGGTGGATAAAGGGGTGAGAGAGAGAGGAAGAGAAATGAAGGACAGAAGGGCACGATGGGGGGGCCTGTGGGGCCAGAGACGCAGGGGCGGGGATTGGCGGGAAGGGGTGGAGCTGCAGGCTCCCGGCTGTGACCTCAGAGCCCCTGGCCCAGCTCAGCCTGACGTCACCCGCCCCCTCCTGCCTGGCCCTACAAAGGCCCCCAGCGGTCAGTCACAGAGAGACCCTGAGGCTGGCAAGCGGGACAGGACAGACGAGCAGCCATGCAACAGGTGCGTGTCCAGAGTCCAGCTCTGGGTTTGGGGGAGCCATGGGGATGCTGCTGCAATACTCCTCTGTGGTCCACGAAAGGACAGGAGGAGACTCAGGGACGGGGATAGGCTCAGAGAGAGACAGGGCCAGAGACAGAGAGCGAGGGATGGGGCCAGAGACAGAGACTGGGCCAGAGAGAGAGAAATGGGGACAGGATCAGCGAGAGGGAGACAGGGCCAGAGACAGAGAGACAGAGAGGGGGACAGAGAGAGAAGGGGACAGGGACAGAGAGAAAGAGAGAGGGAGAGAGAGAGAGAGGCAGGGACAGGGGCAGAGAGAGAGAGATGGGATCAGAGACGGAGTCAGAGACAGAGAGAGGCAGAGAAGGAGACAGGGATGGGACCAGGCATGGCACAGATCCGTTATTTCTATGACTCAGTCTGGAGCTACTTTGCCCCAGAAGTATCTGAGACTGGGTAGGCCAAGGGCTGAGTGTGCCTGCGGGCGGGAGGGCCTGGAGTGAGCCCTGCAACCACACGAACCCCAGAGCATCCCTGAAGGACCCTGAACATAGAGCAGCACCCTGACTCTGCTGGGTGTGCCCCCATGTGTGTTCGTGTTTCTGTGTGAGTGTATGTCTGTATGCACCTGTGTGTGTGTATGAATGCATGTGTGTGTGTTTTGTGTGTTTTGTGTGTGTGCTTATGTGTTTCTGTATACGTGTGTTTCTGAGTGTGTCTGTATGGATGGATGAATGTGTGTGTCTCAGTGTATGTATACATGTTTGTGTCTGTATATACATATATGTATATATGTTTGTGTCTGTATATACATATGTTTGTGTCTATGTATCTACATGTCTCTGTGATTATGTATGTGTGCGCCTGTGTCTGTGTGTCTCTGTGTCTATATGTGTGTCTTTGTATGTGTCTGTGTATCTGTGTGTCTCTGTGTCTCTGTGTATCTCTGTGTGTCTCTGGTGTCTCTGTATATGTGTCTGTGTGTCTCTGTATGTGTGTCTCTATGTGTCTATGTGTGTGTTTCTGTGTGTTTCTGTGTGTGTGTGTGTGTGTGTGTGTGTGTGTGTGTGTGTGAATCTGAACCAAATGCAGTCACCCAAGTCTGCTCACTCCTGGCTTGATAAACCAAGCCAGAGAGACAGGATGGGGGAGACTGGCATGGACACAGCCCACCTGGGCTCTATCCGCAGCACTACAAATGGTCCCCTGAGCTCCACCAGGAGTGACCCTCCCCCCAAAAAAAAATACCTCAGAGAGCAGTTACGTGCTGAGGTGCCTGCTGACCAGAAGCATTATCCATCCAGCGGGGCGGGGGTCGGGGGTTCTCAGGGAGAGACCCTGGGGCCGCCTTCCCCGGATGAACTCTCAGGATCGTCTCTCTCCTGTTGCCCTTGCAGGACGCACGCAAGCCCCACCCCGGCTCCCGGCGGTGCTCAGGCCTGGCCCGGCGTGTGCTGACCGTGGCCTTCGCGTTGCTCATCCTGGGCCTCATCAGCTGGGCCTATGCAGCCGGCGTGCCACTGGCCTCGGACCGCTATGGCCTGCTGGCCTTCGGCCTGTACGGAGCCTTCCTGGCGCTGCACTTGGTGGCGCAGAGCACCTTCGCCTACCTGGAGCACCGGCGCGTGGCACGGCGGGCAGCGGCACGGGCCCCGCTGGATGCGGGCTCGGCGCGCAGCGTGGCGCTGACCATCTCGGCCTTCCAGGAGGACCCACACTACCTGCGCCAGTGTCTGACGGCCGCGCGGGCGCTGCAATATCCGCGCGCGCGCCTGCGGGTGCTCATGGTGGTGGACGGCAACAGCGCCGACGACCTCTACATGCTGGACATGTTCCGCGAGGTCTTCGCCGACGAGGACCCGGCCACCTACGTGTGGGACGGCAACTACCACCAGCCCTGGGAGCCCGCGGCGGCCGGCACTGGCGCCTACCGCGAGGTGGAGGCACAGGACCCGGGGCGCCTGGCCGTCGAGGCGCTGGTGCGCACGCACCGCTGCGTGTGTGTGGCGCAGCGCTGGGGAGGCAAGCGCGAGGTCATGTACACGGCCTTCCGAGCGCTGGGCGACGCCGTGGACTACGTGCAGGTGGGCACCGGACAACGCTCAAGCCCTTCCTTCTGCCCGCCTCCTGCCTGCCTGCCTCCTGCCTGCCTGCCTTTCTCTTCCTTCCTTCACCTCCTCCCTCCCTCCCTTCCATCCATCCTTCCTTCCTTCCTTTCTTCCTTTCTTCCTACCTTTCTTCCTTCCCTCCCTCCCTCCATCTCTCCCTTCCTCCTTCCTTCCTTTCTTTCCTTCCCTCACTTCCCTCCCTCCCTCTTCCTTTTCTCACTTCCCTCCCTTTTTCCTCTCTTCCTTCATTTCTTCCTTCCTCCCTTCTTCCTCCCTCTCTCCCGCCCTTATTTCCTCCCTCCCTCCTCCTTCCTTTCCTCCCTTTCCCCTTTCTTTTCCCCTCTCTTCCCTCCTTCCACCTCCCCCAGCTCCGAGTTCAGGGATGGCTCCCAGGAGATTGAACTGACCTCCTGCATGCCAACGCCAACCCCATCTATGCCCTCAGCCTTTGTACTCCCTCCCACCTGTTAAGAAACACATTCTTCCTCCAGATAGTTATCATCCAGCCACTGGAGTCCATCACCCTCCCTGTCCATTCATCTGCCCGTGTATCTGTCCATCTGGCAGGAGATGGCTCACCCATGGGCCCATCCATCTGGTAGATTTCCTTCCCCTTCTTCATTCACTCATCCATTGGTCACACTCTCCTTTCCTCCTCTGCTCATTCATCCATCTGTCCACCCACTCAGTATGAAGATTCAGTGTCGTGTCCCCTCTCCTTCCCTTTCACTATAGCTTTTCCTCATTCATTCATCTACTCACCCACATTCAGCTCATTTATTCACATTTATTCATCTCTCCAGTCTGGAGACACCTTCCTTTTGTCCACTGTAGAAATTCTTCTCTTCACTCACGTGTGTGTCAATCTACCCAACATGAACATCTTTCATGTGTCCGTCTGTGTCCCCACTTGATGTACAAATTTGTTTATTTTCTCCTTCCATCGAGAGTTGAGAGTCTTGCTCACATACTCATCCATGCCTCTGTTCCTTCTGGAGAGATTCATTTCTTCATTTCAATATCCAGAGCCCTTCTTTGGTGCATTAACCTGCTCTATAAATTGCATAATAAATTTTATGCACAACTGCACAATAAAAGATCACAAATTAGTTTATCACAAGTTTATTTAGAATAAACTATGAACAGCATAAGAAACAATCATAAATTGGGCAACTTGAAGCAAAACACATGTATTAGCTCATCGTTTCCACTGGGCGGGGAGCCTGGGCAAAGTTCCTCTCTGCTTTGAATGCTTTTAAAGCAGCTCTAGGCTGCAATCCTGAGTCAGATGTTATCTAAGCCTCAGGGATGTTATCTAAGCCTCAGGGATCTCTTTCGAAACGCATGTGTTTAATGACAGAATGTGTTTGCTTGCAATTATAAAAATCACGGTAACTTGCCTCTTTAAGACCAGCTGGAGAAGCTCTCAGTAGAGCTGGCCCATCCTTACAGGAGTATACCTAATGAGGAAAGCTCAACAGATTAGGGACTTAGGTCCATAGCAAGAACGTCTTGCCATTTCCTAAAGGACTGTGAGAATCACAAAAGTTCATGTGAATATGGCTTTTGTGCCATATTCTGTAGGTGAGCAGTAACTTCTTGGTCTTCTCCACAAACTGGAGGAAGGTATTACCCAAGATCCAGTGTCATGGTTAGATAGGGAGCAGAACTAGAGCAGAGCAGGGAGGGTGTTTGCCTAGCACAAGTGTTTGCAGACCTGGGTTTGATCCCAGGAATCTATAAGGTTCCCTGTAGCACAGATCCAGGAATAAGCCCTGAGCTCAGCCAGGCCTGACCCCAAAACAAAAATAAACACAAGACTAGATGTCAGAAACGACTAAAAATGTTCAAATGCGGGTTTAAAAATTCAAAGTTATGTCCATATGGTCCGCGATCCATCCATCCACACTCACCTGTGCCCTTCTCCCCGACAGGTGTGCGACTCAGACACGAGACTGGACCCCATGGCACTGCTGGAGCTGGTGCGGGTGCTGGATGAGGAGCCCCGGGTCGGGGCTGTTGGGGGGGACGTGCGGATCCTGAACCCCTTGGACTCCTGGGTCAGCTTCCTTAGCAGCTTGCGCTACTGGGTGGCCTTCAACGTAGAGCGCGCCTGTCAGAGCTACTTCAACTGTGTGTCCTGCATCAGCGGTCCTCTTGGTGAGCAGGGGCAGGAGTGGAGAGGGTGAAGGTGTGTCGGAGGGGGTTGAGAATATGATTGAGAAAGGAGGAATGTGGCTCAGAGGTAGTCTTCTGGGGTGGGAGGGCTCCACACCCAGCAGTGCTCAGGACTTACTCCTGACTCTGAGCTCAAGGATCATTTCTGGCAGTGCTCCAGAGACCCTATGGGATGCCGGGATTGAACCCGGCTCAGCCGTGTGCTATCACTTCAGTCAGCGGGGCAGAGCCTTTCCTTTGCATGTGTGAGGCCCTGGGTTAGATCCCCAGAACAACAAAACAAACAAAAGCAAAGGTGGGGACCGGGAACAGGAAATGGGGTGGGATGGGGTGGGGGGGCAAAGTATGATCAAAAGTTGGAGGTAGAATGAGGGGAGGCCTTAGAGATGAAGTCGAAGAAAGGGATGAAGTTGGGGCTAGAGATAGGGCTGGCACTGAGGACATGGATGGGGCCAGATCTGGGGGGTGGAAATGGGTTTTCAGAGTGGGGATGGGCAGGCAGGGGCCAGTGTGGGAAGTATTTGTGGAGTGAGGAGAATGTAGCCGGGGGGGGGGGGGGGGGTGTTGTTGGGTCAGGCAAGGCATGGTCACTGGTTTGGAGGGAGAGCTGGGAGCAGAAGATGAATTGGGCTGGGGTGTGGCTGGCAGCCACCAAGGCTTATACTCCCCATCTTTCCCAGGCCTGTACAGAAACAACCTCCTCCAGCAGTTCCTCGAGGCCTGGTACAATCAGAAGTTCCTGGGCACACACTGCACCTTTGGGGATGATCGGCACCTCACCAACCGGATGCTCAGCATGGGCTATGCCACCAAGTAAGCTGGGGCCCCCGGCGGGGTTGGAGTGGCAGTCAATGGGGCCCCAACCCAGACTTACCCATCGGATAACGGGTTCTGACTAATGAGGGGCAGGAGCGACAGTACAGCAGGGAGGGCATTTGCCTTGCACATGGCTGACACAATTTCAATCCCCGGCATCCCAGAATATCCCCTGAGCACAGCCAGGACTGATTCCTGCAAGCAGAGTTGGGACTAACTCCTGAGCATGGTCGTATAACCCAAAAAAGCCAAAAATAGTACCCCACCAAGTGAGTCATTAGGGGAGTGGAGAACCCCCACATTTGCACTGATTCCCCTTCAATGGACTCTACCCAGTGGGGCCTGGTTAGGGTGGGAAATTTTGACCTCCAGGGCACATGGCTGCTGGGACAGATGGCAGATGGCTGGACCCAGGACAGCAAGATTGGCAGAGAGATGCCCAGAGAATAGAAGTTACAACCTCACTAGTGATGGGGGGGGGGGGGATCAGGTGAGAGAGAAGTAGGGGGGGAAACCCAGATTCTAGGGCATGCTTCAGGAAGATGAGATGTGACTGAGGAGACTCAAGCATGGTGTGGATTGGGGAGGATCGGGGGAGAGCAAGTTCGACAGAGTGAGACCCACAGAGCCCAGGGCGCCCACATGCTCACTCAGTATCTGCAGCTCTGGGAGTGCAGCAGTAAATGCGAGACAGCAGAGCACAGAGACAAGAAAAATGGATCAGACGGCATGTAGATAATGGGAGGGAACTAAGGCCGGAAGGCGGGGAAAGAGAATGGAACAGGAAACAGGCGGTGAGAGCTGCCAGAGCAGGAGTCATGCAGCTGGAGCAATCATGTGAAGGTGGCATGAGTGGAGGCTGGAGGCCGCGGGTCCACTTAGCAAAGGTTTGCAGGCAGGTCAAGAACACAGTGTCCAGGGCTGGAGTGATAGCACAGCGGGAAAAGTGCTTGCCTTGTTTGCAATCAACTTGGGTTCAATTCCCTGCATCTATGTAATCCCCTGTGCACTGCCAGGCGTAATTCTAAGTGCAAAGCCAGGAGTCAAAGCCCTGAGCATCACTGGGCATGCCCCCCACCAAAAAAAAAAATACTACAGCAGGTAAAGCATCTTGGATGCAGATGACCTGGGTCCCCAGTACCCCACAGGGTCACCTGAGTCTGCCAGGAGTGATCTCTGAGCACAGTCAGTGTGGCTCAAAATACAAACACAAAACAAATGTTGTCGAGAGCCTGGGACAGTTCAGAGAAGAGGGGCAGCATGTGGTAGGGGACTGGCAGTGGGGCAGTGGGGTTCAGACAGCAGGAGCCAGGGAAGCAGGGAAACAGGGAGACCACAGAGGGTGTCACCAGCACAGGACAGGGAGTTGGACACAGTCGAGATCATGGCCATCTGTCATGGGGACAGATGACCTCATGAAGGTATGTGAGGCCACTGGGTTGGTGACATCACTGTGACTGGCTGGATGGCTGCCAGAGACAGGAGCCAGACTTGGTGTCTGCTGATGACAAAGAGCAAGTGCCAGAGTACTCGTCAAGAATGAGTGATTGTCTGAGCAATCAACGATGTAGCAAGGCAGGATTAGTCAGGGCATTTGTGACATGGTACTGAGTAAGACAATAGGAATACTATAGTAGCGGTGAGTGTTAGGATAGTAGCAGTAATAGCATAGTAACAGTGAGTGAAAGCATAGTAGCAGCAAGAAGTAATATAGTAGCAGCAGGTGGTAGTATAGTAGCAGTGAGTATAATAGTATAATTTTATAATTATATAATAGTGTAGTAGCTGCAAGTAGTAATATAGTATCAGCGGGTAGTAGTACAGTAGCTGTGAAGAGTATTGTAGCAGTAACAGTGAGTATAGTAACAGCAAGTATTAATATAGTAGCAGTGGGTAGTAGTACAGTAGCAGCATTTATTGAACACATTTATTGTGTGCACTGGTCTCGAACATTGGCATTTAATCCTCATTAGAATCTCCCCATTACGCTCAGTAGAAATTAATTTTGTTGTTACTATTAATATTGTGATTTACGGTGCTCAGGGCTTACTCCTGATGGGGATCTGGGATCTGGGGGGAAGGGGGTCATATGCTGTGCCAGGGATCATAAACGGGGTTGACCATGTGTCAAGCAAGCGCCCATCCTGCTGTCCTGCCTATTATTACATTATTATTATCATCACTTACTATTTTTATGCCACATCCAGCAGTGCTGGAGGCTGCTCAGGGGTGTCCCCAGTGCTATTTTTGTGGGACCACGTGGTGCCAGCGACCAAGCCTAAGCGCCTGCCCTTCCCATGCACTCCAGCTCGTCCTGCCATCTCCCTGGTCCCCAGGAGCCATCACTGACCCCAACTTCTTTATTTCAAATTTCAAATTTTTGTGACCGCCCCCTCCTCCATGTTCGCTGTGAGATCTTATGCATGTGCTCCTGGGATCTCACTTTGCCAGTTGATGGGGATGGACCCAGCCTCATACCTCCCACCCTGTTTATTGGGGGTGGGGTGCACACACCCAGCTGTGCTTAGGGCTTCCTCCTGGCTCTGTGCTCAGGGAACAGACCCTAGGTGGGCCAGATACAAGGCAAGCGCCTTCCCTGCTGTCTCCCCTCTCCCGTCCAGGATGCTGGGGTTAAGGCACTGGCCTCACACGCTTGAGACCACAGTGCGAGTTACCAGCACCACACAGGGTGCCCCGAGCTCCACTGCCTGAGCACAGCCGGGCGTGGTCCCGAAGCCAAGAGCAAAGACAACCCCAGCTCCCATGGCCCTCTTGGTGCCCACAGGTACACCCCGCGCTCCCGCTGCTACTCCGAGACGCCTTCGGCCTTCCTGCGCTGGCTGAGCCAGCAGACGCGCTGGTCCAAGTCCTACTTCCGCGAGTGGCTGTACAACGCACTCTGGTGGCACCGCCACCACGCGTGGATGACCTACGAGGCGGTGGTGTCGGGGCTCTTCCCCTTCTTCGTGGCGGCCACGGTGCTGCGCCTCTTCTACGCGGGCCGGCCGTGGGCTCTGCTGTGGGTGCTGCTGTGCGTGCAGGGCGTGGCTCTGGCCAAGGCCACCTTCGCTGCGTGGCTGCGGGGCAACGCCCGCATGGTGCTGCTGTCGCTCTACGCGCCACTCTACATGGGCGGTCTGCTGCCCGCCAAGTTCCTGGCGCTCGCCACCATGAACCAGAGCGGCTGGGGCACTTCGGGCCGCCGCCGCCTGGCCGCCAACTACGTACCGCTGCTGCCCCTCGTGCTCTGGGCGCTGCTGCTGCTCGGGGGCCTGGCACGCAGTGTGGCGCGGGCAGCAGCGGCTGACTGGAGCGGGCCCGAGCGGGCGGCCGAGGCCGTGCACCTGGCGGCGGGCGCGGGTGCCTACGCGGGCTACTGGCTGCTCATGCTCGCGCTCTACTGGGGCCACGTGCGCAGGCTCTGCCGGCGGCGTGCGGGGGGTTATCGCGTGCAGGTGTGAGTCTGGGCGCGTGTGGGAGCCCCCGCGTGCAGGTGTGAGTCGGCACGCGTGGGGGCCCCGCGTGCACATGAGTCTGAGCACGCATGCGAGCTCGGGTGCGCTCCCTGGTGCACGCGAAAGTTGAGGTGCGCGTGGGGGCTACCGCGTGCACGAATCCGGGCACGCGCGCGGGACCACGGCGTGCACGAAAGCTCAGGTACGCGCAGCCGACGTGCAAGGCGCGGGCTGCGGATTTGCAAGCCATGCGGACTTGCAAGCGGACTGCAAGGCACCCACTGGTGAAGCGAGTGCGGGTGGGGAGCGCCACCCCGAATCTGCAGCCTGGACTTCTGGGTGCCTAAGGGGAGGGGGTATTTATTGATCAGGTGTGTGGGGTTTTAAGGGCAGGGAGGATGGGGACTCCCCCATCACTCCCTCGCTCTGTCCATTTTCACTGTGTGATAAGGTTGTAATAAAGAATTTTATTTATTTTCTTTGGAGCCCGCCCCGCCTCTTTTGTGGTGGTGGTTAGAAATCTAATGGGGGGCTGCGCGGGTTGGGAATTGGAAAGTCGGAGCTCAAAGTGTTGAGCTGGCAGCTCCTTCCTTGAAGTCTCCCCATTCCTGCTCAGAAAATGGGGGTAAACAGGGACGCTGCAGATCGGAGTGGAGATGGCCTGAGCCTTGCACATGACTGACCCAGATTCAATCCAAGGCCAGCCAGAAGTAATTCCTGAGCACTGCCAGGGCAAGACCCAAAAACCAGGGCAAAAAAGTCACATCTCTGGCCTCTAATTTGCTTTGTTTTTATGGAAGTTGTCTGAGGGGCAGAGGAGAGGTGTCAGGAGGAGAACTCCGGAGGGGAGAGACCTAGAAGCACCCGAGCAAGCCAAAGGAATGACACCAAGTTGAGGTGTGGGGATCCCTAGCCTCGCCCACAACCCCTGGCCCTTGCAGCCTGCTCCTACGGGCTTGCTCGGAGCAGTTCACATCAATAGAACCAAATGAGACGTGCCCTGTCACCAACTTCTCCCGGCATGTTTGCGGGGTTCATCCTGTGGCTGCAGGTGTCACGCTCCTTCCTAGCTCAAACCAACTGCAGGGAGTATCCATGTTTCTGGTACCATGACTAAAGACCCATTTCCAGTGCAAGGACCTCTGGTGTGCTCCCACTTTGGGGTGCTCCTGAAAAGTGCTGTGAGCACTCCGGCATGAGTAAGTTTCTGTGTGGACCCCGGGGTGCAGTGGGATTCCTTAGAGGCTGCTGGACCCTGATCCCCCACACGTGCCTGCGTGCACTCTGTGCATGTCTTCCGCACCCCAAAAGGCAACTCTAGGCACTCTGATGTCTGACAAATGCACCCAGAGAGCAGCCTTCAGGCACCAGTTCAGACCCATACATCTGACAGACTGGTTGGCTTAACCAGAGGCTTGCTGGAGAATGGCCTCCCTAACCAGTGATGGAGAACCGAAGGGCAAAGACCCAGACAGGGGACAGAGTTCTGCCCATTCAAGGGGCAAAGAAAAGAGCGAGTGAGGAGCCAGAGAGGGTCAGGGTGGAAAGGGGTGGTAGCAGGCAAATTAGGACCAAGTGCCAGCTTGCGGGGGGAGGGGGGTGGGACTGGGGGCTGGGGAGGGGCTGTGGGAATGAAACAGTCTCATCTGTGCTTCAAGAGTTCAGAGGAAGCCATGACCAAGTAGCCTAGAGGGAAGAAAATATGATTAGGAGGAAGTGGCATGTACTGAGGCATCACGGTGAATGCAAAATTGCCAGACCACAGGGTGGGAAGACCCGGGAGGGTGAGGTGAGAGAAGGACTGGACACAGCAAGTGCGGTCAGCAAGGACCAGAGGAAGCTGGGGGCCCCTGGGAGGCCCAGACGAGAAAATGGACTTCAGTTCCGGTGGCTGTGGCTGCAGAGAAACCTTGGATGATATCCCTGGAACTATTATTCTAGGGCCAGAGAGAGCAGAAAAGGGAAGTGTTTGCTTAGCTGCTTCTGAATCTGGATGCCACATGTGGCTTTGGGAGCACGAGCAGGCATGGACCTGAGCAGAGCCAGGGAAGCCAGAGGGGAGGCTGCCTGGTGGTGGAGGGAAGCAACGGCAGGAAAGAGGTGGGCAGGAGCTCAGAAATGGGACTTGGAGACAGGCACAAGAGGGGCAGTGAAGAGGGAACACGGGTGGTCCAGAGCGACAATGCAGCAGGGAAAGCCTATGTCTTGCTAGCTGTCCACCTGGACTTGATCCCTGTCCCCCCCATATGGTCCCCAATCCCCGCCCTAGGACTGGTCCCTGAGCACCTCCAGCTGTGACCCCCAGAAGTGACTCAGGTTTCTGATGGAGCAGCCGGATGGGTGTCCTGTATGATCACAGAGAGAGGAGCAGGCTTCCGGGGCCCATCAGACCTCCAGGGGCTCCGGGGGGGGGGCATCTGGGCATGTGCCTGAAGTGGTGCCCAGGACCGCTATGACTCCCGCTGTGATCATGTGTGTGTGTGGGGGTGGGGGGGTAGAGCTTCAGGCTGAAAGTTGACAGATCATCTGCTCAAGGACAAAAGCATCTGTGAAGATGAAACAAATTATTTATTTTTAGGGAAGGAAATAACATAAGGAAGAAAAGTATAACTATGTTAGTCACCTCTGCGGTACCATTGATAGGACATCCTGGGGAAACAAGGGGAGTGTGTGTGGGCCCACGTGTACATGCCCAGGCCTGTGTGTGCATGCCTGTATGCAGCAGAGGGCAGGGCCTGAACTCTTGAACCTGAAGAGCTGGGGGCTCAGGTTTCTAAGTCTAGGGGAGAAAGTGGGGGACCAGATTCCTGGGTCTGAGGGCACTGGGAGCAGAGAAGCAGGACTCCTGCATCAGAAAGTCAGAAGGGGCGAGGTAGCTGGACTCCTCGGTCAGAGGGTGGAGGAATAGAGCCGGACTCCTAGGTCTGAGGGAGAAGGGGCTGGACAATAGGTCTTGGGCCCTGGAGAGCGGGAAGCTGGGCCCTAGGAACTCACCATACCAGTACAGTCACCGTCGCTGCAGCTAAGGCGGCCACGGCGCCCAGCAGGCGCTGGTTGCCAGGCGTCAGTGCCCCGGGCCTGGCCAGCAGCTCGCCCAGGCTTGGCCTCCAGGCTTCCAGCATCTCTGTATCTCGCGATGCCCAGTGCTGTATTTCTCGAAAAACAGCCTGGAGCTCGGTCTCCCCGCGCGGGGGCGGGCCCGTCACTGCGGGGCGCGCAAGTCAGCGGAAGAGCACCGCCCCTCCTCATCCTGGCCCTGCCCACGACACCCTGGCCGCGCCCACCATCACCCAGGCCCCGGTCCCCCGCCCCAGGTCCGCCCGCACCGTTAAGAAAAAAGTAGAGTCGTGCCAGGAGGTTCTGGTCGTGCGCGATCACGCAAGAGAAAGTCCCGCGGTGCTCGGGCTGCACCGGCCGGATCCGCGCGACGAATCCCCGGCCCCCGGGGATGTCAAGGAAGTACGTCATGTCCTGAGTCCGAAGCTGCGGGGCGCCTTGCGCTGAAGCGGCGGAGCCGCGCCCCAAGGAGGCCACACCCCCTCCAGGGCCAACTCCTGTGCCGATTGGCCGGCACCGCCTCCCTGGCCCGCCCCCGAGCCTGACCCCACCCCCTGATGCCACAGCGCCTGCTTCCCCAGCCCTCACCCACCGCACCGCCAGCCCCTCATCATCCAGGCCGGGGGAGCCGTGCCAGGACCCTCCCCGAGGTCCTCCCCGTCCTCCGGTGCAACAGAGCCACCACCGCCCCAGCACCACTGCCTTGCTCCCGCACCACTCACACCTGTCCGGCGAACTTCCAGGAATAGGTGATCTCCTCGCCGGGCAGCGGGAAGCCCACGGCGCAGGTGAACAGAGCCTGCTGGCCCCGAGCCACCGCCAGGTCCTGAACTGCAGACGGGCCGCGTCACCGCCGCCCTCCCTGTCCGCCCTGCCCGCCGCTCCCGGGCACTTACTCGGGCAGTCCAGGGGCAGGTCGCAGAGGGCGGAGTAGCAGCCGCGGCAGCGGAACCGCCGGGCCACCTCCTGCAGTCCTAGGGGCGGGCGACACCGCGGGCATGGGCTCACCTGTCCCGCAGCCAGAACCCTCGGCCTCACATGCCTGCCCTCAAGGCAGAGTCGGCACTCTAGCTGGGCTCACCTGAGCTCTCGGGTTCTCTTTAGTTCTGGATTTGGGACTTTTTTTTTTTTTGGGCTTTTTTTGGGTGGGGTCACACCTGACGATCACAGAGATTACTCCTGGATTTGCACTCAGGAATTACTCCTGGCGGTGCTCAGGGTACCCTATGGGATGCTGGGAATTGAACCCGGGTCCGCTGCGTGCAAGGCAAACGCCCTACCCGCTGTACTATGGCTCCAGCCCTATTTCTGGTTTTGGGTTGAACCCCCCTCCTCCCCCCCCCCCCCGCAGTGCTCAGGAATCTCCCCAGGCGGGGCGGGGGATTCTGTGCGTGTGCGTGTGTGGCATTTGCTTCGTTTCCACCCCCTCCCAGAAATCTTAGCTTCCCCAGGATCTGAGGCACCTGTCAGCTCTCAGTCACCTCTGCCCGACCCCCAATCCCGAGCTTACCGCAGGGAGGGATGCAGGCCTGGACTGTGGAGAGAAACGCAGCGTTACTGCCCTGGAAAACGTGGGCAGCCCAATGTGGGCATCTTGGATATACCAGGAGGGCCCCAAATCTCAGGGGTCAGCGCCAGCGGGGGCGGGGGGGTGGGGCTAGCCTGGGAGGCGCTTTGCCATTTCCAGCTAAAAGAAGGGTTTGGCCAGCGAGGCCATTTATAGGGGCCCTGGCCAAGGAAACCTTTCCTAGAGGATTTAGGGCCACACTTGAGACGCAGGGAAGGGAAAGGTGGGACTCAGAAGGGTCCACGAGGGCAACAGGCTGTGCAGGGAAGTGACTTAGAGTTGGAGCGTGGGGACAGGGCAGCTGGGGTTGCCCAGAGTGCAGTGTCCAGTGTGCCTGGGGAAGGGGCAGGGAGCACAGGAAAGTCCCAGTACCTTCCTTCAGCTGTGCAATGACCGTCAGCATTTTTTCCGCTGCATTTCTGAAGGCGATTTCAAAGGACTCTGGGGGGAGGAAGGGTCGGGATCGTGGTTCACCATGGACCAAGCTCCAGGCCATGCTGTGGGGGTCTGTGCCTCACCCCCAACTCTCTCCCACGTTCTCTATGCTCACCTCCTCCCACTTAGCCTACCGGAAGCCTGGCAAGCCTCCATGTCTTCTTTCCTCTGTTCCTATCTCCAAGGGCACCCCTCCTTCCTCCACATCATGAGCGTGTTGTGGGGAGGGGAAGATAAAGATCAAATCCTCCCCAAGGCCTTCCCTGAGCCCAGCGCAAGCTGGCCTGCTTTCCTCTCACCCGGGGTTCTGCAGGAGTCTAGTCCCTCTGGCAGGCCTTCCCCCTCACTGGTATCCTGCACCCTGGGGGTCAGGGTCAGCATCTCCCCCCACCCCCAACCTCTGAGTGTAATATTCACAACTTGTGCCCATGTACAATTACACACACGTACACCCAGGAAGGGCCTGTCTATCTTTCTTGCCAGGAGAGGGGCACCATTCTTTAGAGCTGTATCCTCAGAAGTCCAAAGAAGGCATCAGTCTTAGACTTTCCATTTGTGTAGACTAAATTCCAGAATCTGACTGGAACAGAGACTGCAACGGGCAGGTGTTGGCAAACCCATTCTTTAAATGTCTTGGATTTTGGTCTGAAAATTTGGGGTTTTGTTGTTGTTGTCTTGTTTTTCTAACAGACCAGTTACCATTATGTAAAATTCGTATGGGTCACATAAGATGATATTTCTTTGCAAAAGTTTCCTAGAGCTGAATTACAAAAGCTGTATGTTCATTTGGCAATAATCCTCCGAGCCACCATCGCAGACCCCCACCCTCCACTGCCTGCCACTTTGCCCTGGTCCCCAACCTCTCTATTCATGTCTCCTGTTTCTGCCCTTCTGGGTTTGTCATGGAAAAACTGTAAGGTTGAGTGTTTTCTCCCCGTGGAGCTCTGCTGGGAATGTGGATGGTGAGAGGGAGCAAACGTTGGGGAAATCAGAAATGTTGGGGGCTGGAGAGATAGTACAGGTGGGCACATGCCTTGCACATGGCTGACCAGGGCTCTGGCATCCCATCTTTCCCACAAACACCATCAGGAGTGATGCCTGAGCACAGAGACAGGAGTAACCCTTGAGCATGGCTGGGTAGGGCCCCCCACAAAGAAGTGACTGGGTATTGTGAACTGAATTGTGTCCCCCACCCACATCTACCCCCCACCCCATTCATATATTGAAATCCTAACCCCAGCATCTTGGAATGTACTTGGTGACAATGGACATGACCCTGGAGGCATTTCTGTAACTTGATCCACTGTAAGGGGGAATCTGGAGCCGCACACAGAAGCAGGGGGCATGTAAGACCCAGCAGAGGGCAGGTGGTCACCTACAAGTCCAGGAGAGGCCTTAGAAGGAACTGTCCCTCTTTACAGCACATCGTGACCTTGGACTTGTAGCTACCAGAATGATGAAACTAAATGCTTGTGAATTAGGAAAAAGTCTGACTGGTCTATGCTGCTTCAGGGGCTACCTTCTCTCCAACAAGGGTGCACTGGATTTCAGGTGGAAATGTTTGCTTTATGCCAGCTTTCAAAAATTACACCTCCCAACAGGGGTGGAAGAGTCCGGGAGGGAAAAAGCGGAAACTGCTGGAAGAAGTTGACCCTGGTGCTGGGACAGAGTATGCCAACAGCTGAGCTCTGAAGAACTTGGTAAATCCGTGTATTGATAAAAATTGGGCTGGAGCGATAGCACAGCGGGTAGGGCGTTCGCCTTACACGCGGCCAACATGGCCGACCCGAGTTCGATTCCTCCGCCCCTCTCGGAGAGCCCGGCAAGCTACCGAGAGTATTCGATATGCCAGACACAGTAACAACAAAGTCTCCAATGGAGACGTTACTGGGCCCGCTCGAGCAAATCGACGATCAACGGGACGGCGTTTACCTTTACCTTTAATAAAAATTAAATTTAAATTTAAAAATAAAAGCAGCTCAGGGTCGGAGCTAGTTCAGTATAGTAGTTTGTCAGTACAGTGGGTTGGGGTTTGCTTTGCATGCAGCTCACTGGGGTGCAATCCCCGACATCCCATATGGTCCCCCGAGCACTGCCAGGAATAATTCCTGAGTGCAGAGCCAGTAATAATCCCTGAGCATCGGCAGGTGTGGCCCAAAAAAGCAAAATAAATAAATAAAGCAACTCAAAAATGAACACACACACTACATCTCCCAGATGGCCCTGCGGCAAGCATGCGTCATTTGTTATCACATGATCGAGTTCTGCCCATTGGTACATAAGTGATTGTGTCTCACGCACAGGAAGCAGCTCCACGGAGCCAAGCAAGGGACAAAGGTGAGGCCATGTCCAGTGGCCTCATGAGTGCAGCCTGGGAGGACCCCAAGCACTGCTGTGGCAACACCAAATCCTCAGACCCTAAAATTGACCCCCTGGGCTAGTCAGGTGGCTAAGTATCGCTGAGAGCAGCTCTTGCTCCCCGGAGCACTGCTTGGAGTCCCCCCTCCCGGCAAAGCATCATCTGATTGATCCCTGCCCCTTTCCAAGCTATGGTCTAAAACTTGGATTTAGTTTCACTAACAAAAAAAAATTTTTTTAAAAATATATACCAAAAAAATAAATAAATAAAATAAAACTTGGATTTGATGGCGAGTGCTCCAGCCGCCATTTAGAAATACAAGGACCAGGGTGAAAACAGAAAGCCAGGAGGAGACGAGCTTATGGCTTCTTGGAGCCCTGGTGGGAAGTCTCTGAGATTCAAACGCCAACAAAACAGACCTTAGAAATAAGGGGAAGTGGCACTGATCAAGGCTGGTCACTGGCGGGGAGCCAGAGGAGCCCCGAGGCCATTGGCAGGTTCAAGGCTGGGTGGGGAGCAGGGGACACAGACTTCACCCTCTCCTTGACCACAGAGCAGGGGTGTGGCCAGGGGGATGGCGGGGTCCAGCACTCTGGCAAGGGATGTCCCAGAATACCTGAGGGTCACAAGGAAGGCTGAGTGTGGGAGAGTGGGGGAGCGGGTGGACAGACGGACCACATGTCCTCAGAAATCAAGAGGAAGGGGCTCACCGGGAAGCTGTGAGGTCCCGGAACATGGCCATCCCACCCGGCAGAGCACACAGCTTTTGTACATTAGACCCTGAGCCTAGGGTCCCCAAACTGCACAGGCCCCCACGAGCCACCAGGTGGCCCCAGGGACCCCCAGAGCACCAGGCTGAGCAGCAGAGCATTGCCAGGAGTGGCCGCTGAGCCCCGAGCACCATGGGGGGGACCATCCCCATAGCAGGAAATAGTGCAGGTTAAGTCTGGGTCCCTCTGGTCTGCACCCCAGCTTTTCCCAAGCTGACTCAGTTCAGAGCGACCACCACATGGCATCCTCATCACCTTGGCCGCCCCAAGAGCCTCCGGGACCCTCAGTTTCCCCATTTGGAAATTGGGGGGTGGGGATCTGATGCCTAGAGCATAGGGCTGGGGTGCGGGGGGAGGCTAATGCCACAGAGGGCAAAAGCAATCCTGTCTGAACCACAGGCCAGGCCCCAGGCACGAGGGCACCAGGTGGTCTGGGGGGTGGAGCCATAGCACAGGGGGTAGGCCTTGGATGCAGCCGGCCGGGTTCGATTCCCGGCACCCCATAGGGTCCCCAAGTGTGGTCAAGAGTGGTCCCTGAGCACCACCAGCTGTGCCCCAACAAGAAGATAAGGTGTGCTTTAAAGATGATGTGTGGTTCGGGCGTCCTCCAGGGACACACCCCTCTCCTGGCAGACATCGGGGTTAGAGATTCCAGGGTTCTGCTTCCTGGACATCCTGGATCTGGAGGAGGGAGAAATTTTCAGAGGCCCTCCAGGGAGACACTGACGCAGAACAGACCCAAATAGCTCTGTGGGCACACACTGCCTCTCTGTGGCCCAGGCAGGCTTCATCTTCCTCCTCACACCCCAGCCAGACCCGCTCACAACTCCTCTGAGCCCACAGGACCTTGCAACTGATGCCTGCCACCATGCAGGCCACCATCACTGCCACCAACTCCTCTTGGGTCCTCATGCCACCTGGCCAGCCTCCACCCCTCCTCGAATTCCTAATATTCGGAAGGGAAAGCCACAGGCAGGGCAAGGGTCCAGCACAGGACTAAGGAAAGGGCGACTACTGACTTCCAGGCTCTACGTTGGGTCAGGAGCAGGAGGTGAGGCCCTGATTCGTTTTCAAAAGTACCTGTCATCCACTGGGGTGTGACGACCCGACCATGGGCGTCTAAGCCCTCCGGGCTGTGGCTTTGCCACCTCAGATTCTATCTCCAACCACTTCTCTCTCAGCCACTCTGCTCTGGCCCCACTGGCCTCAGGGCCTTTGCACTGGCCCCTTCTGTCTGCTGTGCTTTCACACTGGCCTCTCTCATCACTTCCTTTGGAAGCTGGCTCCATCGAACCTGGACACTCTCCCCTCCCCTGACCATGCTATCAAGAGTTAGAATGTGCCTAGCCAAGGATGGAATAGAATCTCAAGCATTCCAGGCCCGTGCTTTACCCCTGGGGCACATCCCTGGCACCTGCAACACTTAAAATGAACCCCTCAGGGCAGGAGCCCTGGTACAGTTCAGTGCCCAGCACCCCACAGGGTTCCCTGAGCTCCACTGGGAGTGATCCCTGAACACAGAACCAGGAGTCAGCCCTGAGCTCCAGCAGGTGTGGCCCCCACCACCACCACCACCACCACTACTACTAAAATGAAGCAGCCACGCACTGCCCCTCCCCTCCTGCCTGGCCTTCATGGCTTGGGTCAGCAGCTGCCACACAACTGTGACTGTCTGAACTAGATTTAGTGCCCCCCACCCTAATGTACAGAAAGCATCCCGAGGGCAGCCTGGTCCTAGCTAAGTCCCAACACGGTTCCCAGCTCCCCTGGAGTCCGTGGAACCGACAGTACTGCACCAGCTTCTCCCCTACCCTCCTCCCACACCCAGACCACCCACTGCTCCTCGCCTGGCCGCCACCTGCTGCCCGTCTGCCCCGCTCAGGATGACCCGGCCCCTCCTCAGAACAGGGATGGACTCTCCAGCTCACGAAGCTGTGCGCGAGGCCTGAGGGCTGAGAACCAGACAGTGGCCAGAGAGGAATTAAGATCCAGGGTCCCCGAGGGACAGCCAGATCCTGCCCTCCTGCTCCCCACACACCCGGGGCCAACCCTGCCACAGCAGCCCCTTGGCCACCCAGCACGGCCTGGACGGTCCTCTCCCTCCCTTCCTTTCTGGCCGCCTCTCCTGTGAAAGATCAGGAATCATGTTTTTATCCTTTTGCTTCGGGGAACCCTGAGGATCAAGGTCAGGGCCTCATGGGCACAAAGTTTCAGCTTCACTGCTACACCCCAGCCTCCGTTTTCCCTGCAGTGGTCAGGGAAACTCCTGGCTCTGTGCTCGGAGGCCACTCACGGCAGTGCTCGAGGGATGACGCCCCATCAGTGAGTTTCCCTGCCCCCACCCGGTCCAGCCCCTCCTGAGGTCCTGCGCAGTAGGGCCAGATCTCCACGTGTCCCCAACTTCCTCCAGGACAAAGAACCGGGGTCCCCTCACTCTGAGCTCTTCCCAGATCACAGCCACTCTGAGGGGGGTCTCCCCACTGCGCCCCACTCACCACCGGCCGCAGCCTCCTCCTGCAGAGCGTGCGTCATCTGGGTGAAGGCGTCGTGGAGGTGACTCCGCTCATCGTAGTCTGGGGGATGGTGCTGGCTGGGGTGAGGCAGCCCCCCGCCCCCGACAAGCGCTCTCTCCTCGTGTCTGAGTCTCTGACCCCCTCTGTCTGCAGGCTCAGCCCCCTCCCCCATCTGAACCCCCTCATCTCTCCTTTGTGAGTACATGGTTTGGGGATGACCTCAGCTCTGTGCCAGAGCTCGGCATCCTCGTGCTCAGCCCACTGAGCTTTCTTTCCGGTCCCCCCAACCCCCCATCTCCATACACATCCAGCTGGGGCCCCTGGAAGATGGAGGTCTCCTCACTGATCTCGATGTCCAGGAGACCCTCAAAGGCAGAGAGGAATGCCTCCTCACACGTGTCCAGCAAGAGGCCCTCCGCGCCCACGAAGAACTGGCAGACGCGCCGGCGCTCGGCGTAGGCTGTGAAGCAGAGGAGGCATGCCCAGGCCGGGGCCCCCAGGCCGGGCAGCGCCAGCAGGGACAGGGGCACAACACGGGCCGAGGCTGGCAGGGCCATGGCTCGGTCCCCAGCTCAGTGACATTTGTGAGGTCACCTGGGTGGGGGAGGGGCAGGCACCCTGGGTCAGAGGTCAGGCCTGCTCCCCCCCAGGCTGTGGTCGGGCCAGACTCCAGGCTCCCAAGACCCTCACCTGTGAACCTGCACGTCCTCACAGGTTAAAGGGTCTCAGGGACCCAGAGGCCAGCAGTGGGGGCGGGGTGGAGAGGGCAGCGGGCGCAGCAAGATGAACCAGGGGTCTGGCGTCAGATGGGGGCAGGCGGGGTGCCAAGACCCAGAGAAGCTCAGTGACGGCAGAGCCGGGAAGCCCTGGCGTGTGCACATGCACACCCATGCATGTACACACGCATGCACACGCATGCAGACACATGCACATGCCCACACGTGTGTGCACACACATAAACACACGTGTGCACACGCATGCACCCGAGGGACATGCTCACCCACACATGTGCATGCACACACAGACACGCAGGGTCCTGGATGGTCGGTGGGGCCGACGGTCACGGACAGACAGCAGAGAGGGCGCAGCGGCGGGAAGCAGGGGGTCCCAGGGGTCCCCGCGCAGGGCGCAGCCTGGGGCAAGCTAGGAGGCCGTATAGTGATCTCCGTGGGTGTCCTCCTCAACTATACAACCTCCTACCTCAGCCCGGGGGGCGCGGACGGACGGATGGACACACGGATGGACACAGGGGGCCGGGAGGCCCAGCGCGGCGGTGAGCCCCGACACGGACCCACAGACACGAGCTTGTGTGCGGCGAAGGCCCCGCAAGGTCGGTTCTACGGGTGGGTGCCAGGCCCCAGGATGCGGGCCCCCGAGCCCGCCCGGCAGCCTCCGCCCTCTGACTCCCAAGTCCACGCGCATGTCCCCGGCATCCCTGCACCCAGGGCACGCCCCACCCACCTGCGCAGACCCCCAGGCCAGACTGGTTCCTTCTGCCAGGCGGGGAACACCCAGGGTCCAGAACCTCCAAGCCCCCTTAGGCCTTTGCTTGACCAGCCAGCGCCCCCGCCCGGGTCCCCAGGCGCGAGGTCCCCGCTCAGGCCGCCTCTGTCCCTGTCTGTCCGCCCAGGGCTCAGGCCCCGACCTTTCCCCCTGCCTCTGCACAGGGGCTCTGAGGGGTCACCTCTTGGGGCCTGGCTCTCCGTTGGTCTCTGCACCCCCAACCCTGCCTCCTCGGCCCCGACCCCTCTCCTCACTGCCTGCTCCCTCCCTCCCGCCCTCCCTTTGTCTCTGTCTCTCCCTCCACTTCTGCCCTCCCGGTCCCAGCCCTGGAGCCCCAGCCCATCTCCTGCCCCATCTCTGACTTTCTCCCCCTCTCTCCCGGCTCACCTCTCCCTCTCTCCCTCTTTCTCCTCTCACCTCTCCCTCTCTCCATCTCTCCTTTCTCTCCCTCTTTCTCCCTCTCTCCCTCTTTTTCTCCCTCTTTCTCTCCCTGTCTCTCTCCCTCCTCTCCCTTCTCCCTCTCTCCCCAGCTCTCTCCGTTTCTCTCTCCTCTCCCCCTCTCTCTCCCTTTGCCCCTCTCCGCCCTCCTCCCCTGCGCCCTCCTGGCCCGGCCCGGGGTTGGGTGGGGTGGCTGGAGCGGCGGGCGGGCGGGCGGGCGGGGAGACCCGAGGCAGCGGCGCGGCCCACCCCCTCGGGCGCCCCGACCCGCGGCCCAGGTGGGGAGGAAGGCGGCGCTCCCCGCCCCCCGCGACCTGGCCCTGAGCCCGGCCCGGTTCCCAGCATGCCCCGGGCGGGAGGGGGAGGGGCGCGCAGTCTCGGGGTTCGCGGGACCCCGCGGCTCCCCGGGGGGAAACTGAGGCCGGGGACGCGCTCAAGGTCACGGGGCACGGGGTCGGGGCGGCGGCGGCGGGCAGGGGTGGGCGCGGGGGTCCCCGGGCGGGCGGCCCCTCCCCCTGCGGACCCTGGGGAGCCCCCGGGGGTCAGCGCGCGGACCCAAACAGTCTGGCACCATGGCAACGGCGCCCCGCCCCTTAACCCCTGCAGCGCCGGGCCGGGCGGACGCCGGGGCGCGGGGGAGGGGCGGCGGGGGCGGGGCCGGGGGCTCGGGCGCCGGCCCGGGGGGCGCGGGCTGGGGGAGCCGGGCGCGGGCCGGGCCTGGGGGGGCGCGGGCCCGAGTCGGGGGTGGGGTGGGGGCGGGGGGGAGGGGCGCGGCCTTCGCCCCGGGCCCGGCCTCCCCCGCAGACGCCCCCTGCCCCCGCCGCTGACCCCGGCCCGTCTGGGGCCCAGACGGTCCCCGCGGCCCCCCGCCCAGCTCACCCTTGACCCCGAGCCCGCGGCCCCACCCGCCCCCCGACACTTAACCCCGGCGCTGCCGGAGGCGCCCGCGCCCTCGGGCCCGCGGTCCCCGGCCCCGCGCGCCCGCGCCCGGGGGGCCCGGCCCCCCTCCGCCGAGCCCGGCCCGGGGCGCCCCCCGAGCGCCCGGAACCCCGCGCGGGCGCGGCCCCTCCCTCCCCGCACACTCACGGCTCCGCCGCCGCCCGGGGGTCCCGGCCCCGCCGCCGCCGCCGCCGCTCCCCGGCCCGCGCCCCGACTCCGCCGGCCGCGCCGCCCCCGGGACCCCCGCGCCGCCCCCGGCCCCGCGCTGGCCCCGGGCCAGGGCAAAAAATTCCATCCCCGGCCGGGGAGGAGGCGCGGAGCGGCCGGGCCCAGCGTGACGCAGGAGGAGGGAAGGGACAAAAGACGGGGGGCGGGGGGCGGGGGCGGGGGCGGGGGCCGGGGTGCTCCCACCGCCTCCTCCCGGCCGCCACGCGCCGCCTCCCTCCGCCCGGCCCGGCGCCTCCCGGCCCGCGCGCTCCCGCCCTCCCGCTCCCTCCTCCCTCCCCTCTCCCCTCTCCCTCTCTCTCCCTCTCTCCCTCCCTCCCTCTCCCTCTCCCGGTGTCTCTCCCTCTTTCCCTCCCCCTTTCCCTCTCTCCCCCTCCCCCTCCTCTCCTCTTTCCCTCTCCTCTCTCCTCTCTCCCTTCTCTCTCCCTCTCTCCCTTTCCTTTTTTCTCCCTCCTCCCCCTTTCCTCCTCTCCCCCTCTCCCCTCTCTCACACACTCCTTTCCCTCCTCATTTCCTGCTGTGCCTGGGGGCCCACACCCCCACATCAGGGACTGCTCTCCTCCCCCCTAAGTTTTCGGCTCCCAAGGTAGACCAAGTCCGGAGGCAGACCACCCTAGGATGAGGGGTGGTTGAGGGACCTCTGTAGAGGGGAGAGCAAGAGAAATTGGGGTTTCACGACCTGGGGTCAAGGGCACAGCTGAGGTCCAGAGGCAGGAGAAGGGACTGATGACTGCAAGGAAACACCCTCTGGGCTGGGGGGAGATGAGGGGAAAGGGGGAGATAGAGCTGTGGAGAGAGGGGCTGGGAGACTGGGTGTGAGAAGCTGGCCAGGCCAGGACCCAGGAGGGTGCAAGTGTATTTGGCAACTTGGGGGTGCACCCGGCAGGTGGGGGAGTCTGGGCTCCACAAAGGAGTCTTACCCCTCCCGGCACTGGGACCCTGCAGCAAAGTCTCTCCTTGTTTCCTCACTCCCCATCTCTCTCTCCACACCCCCACACCCCCACCCCCCCCCACACCCCCGCTTCACTGTGTGCTTGGACTGAAGTGCAAACTTGCAGGAGACCTGGGTTCCAATCCCAGCATGGAACTGGACCACGACTACCTGCCCAGCCATGCTCTGTGGCTCTAGAATGTTCCCCCATTAATTCTACTTATTCGATCATGGGATTATTTTTATATTTGGAAGTGGATATGCAATTTGCTCCATTGCAGAAGGAATATGCAAATTCCTAGATATTTGGGGGCCGAAGTGATAGTACAGCGAGTAGGGCATTTGCCTTGCACATGGCTGGCGTGAGTTCGATTCCCAGCATCCCATATGGTCCCCCGGGCACGGCCAGGAGTAATTCCTGAGTGCAGAACCAGGAGTAACCCCTGTGCATCGCTGAATGTGACCCAAAAAGAAAAAGAAAATTCCTGGGTCTTTTTTTTTTCCAAACTATTTTCTTCCCAGGCTCTCAAGGCCTCTAAAACCAGATATCCGATAAATACGTGTCTTTTAAAACATGTCATTAAGGCGCTGGAGAGAGAGTGCAGGAACTCAGGAGTGAGCCTTGCACGCAGCCTAGCCCAGTTCAACCCCTGAGCCTCCCCAGAAGTGTTTCTGACCACAGTCAGGTGTGGCCTGCAAATAAAGTAATAAAACAAATGCCGTTAATTACTAATGCTAGAAATAATAATGATGACTCAGACCCTTTATTAACCATCTAATTAGGGACAGGCCTGGGCTGGGTGTTATCCGTGATAATCATCCGCTCGTGCCAGCAATTGTTTTAGCCACTGCCATCTCCAGGGAAGGATGAGGGAACAGGCTGTCAAGTGGCGGAGACAGGACTGGAACCTACAGCTCTCCCAGATTAGACCCCAGGGTCTGCTCTGGAAAGGGGATGTGTTGCAGCACACAGAGACAAAGAGCACCTTCGCCACACCCTGCACCCTTGATAGCAGAGTGACTGTCCTTCCCTAGTATGTCCTGGGCTTGGGACAGTCACCACACCCCCTGCAGCCTCGTCCCGACCCCATCAGGTTGTGTGTGACACTCAATGTCAGGGTCTGTCTCTGGGAAGCCACTGAGGGCACAGTCTACTTCTGAGTCACCTCTGTCCTCATCTGTGCCAGTGTAGGGTGTGGCTCAGAGGGGCTCAGAAAATATCGGCTAAGCTGAGACTCAGGAGCCACTCTTCCCATGAGCCCTTGAGTATGCGATTCCCATGAGATCCTGTGACCCCAGGGCCACTCTTCCCATGAGCCCTTGAGTATGCGATTCCCATGAGAACCTGTGACCCCCTGGAGCCACTCTTCCCATCAGCCTGTGGTTTTTATCCTGACCAGACATTGGCCCGCAAGTACTGTGATTTTTTGTTTTTAATTTTATTTTATGTTTATTAGGTTGTTCATAATTTATTACCTTCAATATTCCAACACCAAATGCCACCACCATTACACCTTACCCATCACCGTTATTTCGAATTTTACCAAGTGTGCCCCAATAGCAGGCCCTAAATAATTTATTTTGCATTGTTAGTTACGGATAATTTTCTGAAAATGATCAAAAGAAGATTCCCTTAGAAGAAAGTGTGCGAAGATTGTTGTATCTCACCCTGGAGCCATTGAGCCCTGTATAAGAGATTACTAATATGTTGTTACAGGTTGAGCCTTGTAT